AAAATTCTGTCATTAATTACTCACCCTCTTGTTGTTCGAAACCCGTAAGACCTTCGTTCATCTTCGGAACACAATTTAAGATATTTTTGATGAAATCTGAGGGCTCTCTGACCCTCGTTAAAAGTACCAAGATGAACGACAAAGTAGTCCGTGTGATATCAGTGGTTCAACTGTAAAGTTACGAAGCTTTGAGAATACTTTTTTTGCGCAAAGAAAACTAAAATAATGACTTTATTCCACATTTTCATCTCTACTGCATCACTTGTGGACGCTCGTTCACGACAGTATCATGACGTGAGCGTGTGGCGGCGCTGACCCAGATCCACATGCTCGCATATATTGTACTGTCGTGAACGCACGTCCACATGTGGACCTTGAACGTGGTAGTTACCTTGCTGTCTATGGAAGGGTCAGAGAGCCCTCAGATTTAATAAAAAATATCTTAAATTGTGTTCTGAAGATAAACGAAGGTCTTACGGGTTTGGAATAACACGAGGGTGAGTAATTAATGACAGAATTTTCATTTTTGGGTGAAGTAACCCGTTAAGTTTACAGCCACTTATTCATATTGTATCAAGCTGATAATCAGCCTTAATGCAGTTTTGCTCACAACAATGACATTCACAAACTTAAATGTCAATTTATTTCAAAAATGTAGGCCTAATAGTAATTCTTATTTTCACAAAATATACAATCAAGTGAAAATCAAGTGTACAGTTAGGGTATGTTTACATGACATTAATTGTACTAAAAATGGAAAAGTTTTTCCTTTGCATTTGCACGACAATGTTGTCAAAATGATCCCTGTTCACACTAATCTGTGAAAACAACTAAAACCGCTGTATTATTCATGCTAGGCCAGTAGTTAGCAAAGTCACTTTGTAAAGAAACACTAAGCATCTGCGCACATACCTACAGACTGAACACTCATGGATTCATAATTTTCACAAATTCACATTTTTGAAGTTTACACTATGGCGATAACGGTATTGTTTTCAAAAACTTGCACTTTGAAACGGTTTTCAAAGTTTGCATTTTCAGGACCCCAAAATGCTGTTGTTATGTAAATAAACAGCCAAAATGCATAACATCATTTTCAAATAAAAAATTGAAAAGTTTTTGTGTAAATTCCCACTTTGTTCATGGGGCATTTATACAAATGAATGAGAAAAATGAAATGGAATTGCATGGGAATTGAACACTAATTGGATAATTACAGTGTTTATGTTTGCTAACTGCTACAATCATTTCATGTAAGTAACAGGTTACTGAAGGGGAGGGATTGAAATGCTTTTGACTATGTTGTTTATTTGGTATGATGTGTATTGTATGTTCGAACATTCATTTATTGAATGTAAAAGTTTTTGTTTTTCTCTCTTTCTTACCTTGTGAATGGCCAATCGGGAGTCCGGGCAGAGGTAAGGGGCAGAGCTAGAAGGGAGAGAGAAAAAGACAGTGGGTGAGAAAGAGACGGGCTGAGACAACGAACAGTATATATATGATAATTTGATTCTTGAGTTGTAATTATAGATTAGGGGGTTCAAATCAAAACGCAAGTAACTAATGTATAGTGTGAATGTGGCGATAAGGGACTTTGAATCAAAGTTCCCAGGACTCTGTAATTTGAGAGTTGTGTGAATAACCAAAGACTTTAAATATGCAAAGATGGTGCACTCCTATGACTTATGAACGGGAGAAATATGGCGGAATAGCCCCGCCTTCTGAATAAAACAACCAATCGCTAATTAGTAAAGTCATTGCGTCACTGCAGAAAACTACATTTATGAGACAGTTGTTGTCAGATTTTATTGGCGATTTCAAATATGAAATTTAATTATAAGCTTGGTGAACAGTTTTGGAGAATTTGATGTTTCCCCATTCAAAGAGATTGAAATTGGATGCCCGAAATAGCTGCCTGGAGGCATTGCAAATATGGCCGCCAAGTGAACAGACTTTCCTTGAAAGGGACTTTGACGCAACTCAGGTGTTGTACTACGCTACTCTGTTAGCACAATCTAAACAAGTGAGTGCTCTCAGTACTCAAATTGATGCTTCCTCGTTTCCTTGCTCCTCCGTCCTCGAGCCTGTGACCCGGAAACCGATCAAACTCAGCCATCTTGAAGGACATCTCAATTCTCTAATTGCACTGCGAGGATCGAGAAGTGAGGAAGCTTCCAGAGGAGCTGTGATCGAGGATACACAGGTGTATCCTTTGCGTTAGTCTTTTTAGTCGAAAAACCTGGCGCATGTAAAATGATCCTCCCCCTTTACATCTGTTGTAATAACTGTTATTTATATTTTGCCTTTGCAGTTTAAATAAATTATGCATGTCATATTTTTCAAACAGGGCATCTTGCTTTATTAATATTTATTATTAATGTCGTAAATATCAAGCTTTAACAACATAAGGGCAGATTCCTTTAGCGCAGCCGATGACGCTTTGAAGTGACGCTTGAGTGATCAAGAGTATTCCAATGTACAAATAACCGTTCCTTTGATTTCTCCATCCTCATTTTCTTTCCTTGCATCCTTCCCTCATATCCTAAGGCGGGTGGAGCTAATACGTGAAGGAAGGAAACGAGGATGTACAAATAAGAAATGAGAAGCACCCATTGATTTATCTACGAGGACAACGTGAGGACAGTGCTCTGAGTTACAGGCTAATACTTAGGGTTCCTCCGGAGGCGAGGGATTCAGTTGCTCAGCGTGAGTCGGTGATTTTGTGCGTCAGAAGAGAACCCATTTGTCTAGTCCGAAACGATCATTTGATTATCATTGCTTCATGTCCTGGAACACTGTCACCAGTAGGTACATTTTATGCTTTATTTTCTCTTCTGAACTGAATGGATATTCATTTATGGGCCCCAATGAGCTAGCAATGGTTGTAAGAACTATGGGTTTCACTGCTAATTGAAGAGTTGAATACCTTAAATAATTGTAATCTTTGGACAGTGATTTTGTAAACTGAAACACGTTTCTGTATTTTATTTCATCTTGTTTATTTGTTCTATTTGATTCTTAATACATCCCTTATTTCTTGCTGTAGAAGCATCTCTGATGCACTTAATCATAGGCCAATCATACATTGATTTATTAGCTGAAAGTGATTTAGTTGACCTTTATAATCTACTAAACGACAGGGAAACTCAAGGTAAACATCCATTAACTCTTTCCCCGCCATTGACGAGTTATCTCGTCTTTTAGAAGACAACGCTTCCCCGCCAAAGACAAGTTTTTACGGCTTTTCGTGTTTTCACTGTTATACACTAGGGGGCGCTATTACACATCTTCTGAATGAGTACAAATCCTCCCGAACAAAAACTCTCGTGAACAGGATGGAGAAACGAGCGATCTCTTATGTAAACAGATGCATATGAAAAATAATGCGATCATCAGCAATAGACAGCATATAAATAAAAACTGCATACGGTTACGGAGTAAAATGTTGATCCAGGAAGTGGTATATGTCTGTGCAAGCTTTGGAGGTGTTGATAGAAGCGATTTACTGGATTTATGCTTTGATAATCGTACTGAATATTACCCAGATGTAGTTTTTGATAAAAATTTGATTTTCTCACCTTTTTGCTCAAAATTATGAATTTTTATGAAACCTGAAAAAAATGCTGGCGGGGAAAGAGTTAATGGTATAATTATTATTATTTTTTTAATCAGGGTGCTGTCTCTTTAAGAGAGTCAAGCGAGCGCTACACAGACACTAGTAAAGGGGTGTAAAACTCAGTTCCTGGAAGGCCACAGCCCTGCAGTGTTTAACTGTAACCTGCTCCAACACACATACATTTAGATTTAAAACAAGCCGTAAGGACTTGATTAGCTGGATCAGATGTGTTTAATTAGGGTTGCAGCTAAACTCTGTAACTTTCCAGGAACTGGGTTTGGCACCCCTGGACTAGTCTGTTAGACATAATGAAAGAATTGTGAAATACTATCACAAAGACAACAATTAAAAACAAAAAATCTAATGACAAATGAATAACACAGAGGATGAATACAAGTGCAGGAATGAGCAAAGATTCATAATGGATTTAACATACTGTCTACACTGGATGCGAGCAGCATGGTGCAAAAGCAAAAAGAACCCACTATATCACTGATACTGTTTGGTAGAAACTCTTAAACTTAGGTGGGAGAGATTCTGGGTCATATTGCTGTTTTATGATTAGCTGCTTTTAAATTTTACATTATAGTCACAGACACACACAAACAAACATAAAAGCAAACTTTCTGTGATTCTCTTACAAAGACACATTGGATCTTCTTGATCATGATATAAGGATGTTT